CGGCGGGGTCTCTGGTTAGAGCCCTCTCTCATGTTAAATGGAAATACCATCGAAGTTAGAACTGAGCATAAGTTTCTGGGATTGATATTTGACAGTAAGCTTAGTTTTGTCTCCCATCTCAAATGGCTAAAGCAGAAATGTATGCAGACATTGAACATTCTTAAAGTCCTCTCACACAAGTCTTGGGGTTCTGATAGGAGGTGTCTACTTCGTTGGTACTTCTCTCTTGTACGATCGCGCCTTGATTATGGGTCTGTTGTGTTCGCGTCTGCTCGGCCGTCTGCCTTAAAAATGCTTGACCCTGTGCATCACCTTGGGTTGCGCCTTGCGACGGGTGCTTTCAGAACATCTCCTATTTTAAGCTTGTATGCTGACTCCAATGAAATGTCATTGGAAAAAAGGCGGCAGTATCTAAGTTTGGTTTATGCCTACAAGGTGTTATCAGAACCCAGCCATCCAGCCCACAATAGTATTCGAGAGTCTAAGTTTTATCGTACTTTCGAGCATAAACCAACTGTTATTCGACCCTTGAGCCTTCGTTTTGAGAGTCTCCGTATCTCCCTTAACCTGCCACGTGAGGGTGTCCATTTCCTAGAAAGTGCACATCATACTGCCCCATGGGATATGAAACAAATAGCTTGCAATTGGTATTTTACAAAATTTAATAAACATAATGTTTCTCCACTCATTCTACAACAGGAATTCTTAGCTCTGCAAGAAAAATACAGACATTACCGCCAGTTTTATACTGACGGTGCCAAGTCCTTAATGTATGTCGGCTCAGCTGTTTATTCAAATTCGTTTACCCATGTTACTCGACTTCACAATGTCGCCAGCATTTTTACTGCCGAACTATATGGTGTTCTGGCAGCACTTGACTATATAATCAGGAACAAAGTGATGAAAGCCATTATATTTGTAGACTCTCAAAGTGTTCTTACTGCAGTATGTTCTATCACACCAACTACGAATAAGTTGACTCAACTTGTACGGGCCAGAGCTCAACAGGGACTTGCTGGTGGGAAGGACATTGAGTTTTGCTGGATCCCGAGCCATGTGGGCATCGCAGGCAACGAGGCTGCAGATAGACTAGCTGCTTCTTCACAGAACCTTTTACCATCGAATGTCTGCATACCTTACCAAGACCTTAAAGCGTCCGTAAAATTTTCACTCTCGCAACTTTGGCAATCTGAATGGAAGTTAGCCGATAACAATAAGCTTCATGTCATCAAGCCAGAACTTGGTGCATGGGAAACCTCGTATAATAAAAATCGTTTCCACGAAGTCCTCCTGTGCCGGCTGAGAATCGGCCATTCATTCCTAACCCATCAATACCTGCTTATAGGTGAGGAACCGCCGATATGCGAGCACTGTGGGGAAGCTTTATCTGTTCTGCATGTTCTCTTTCTTTGCCGTGGCCTTTTACAACAATACAAGATCTATTTCTCCGAGTTTTTCAGGTACAACATCCCATTTCACCCTGTCTTATTTCTAGGGGAGCAGCCTCTCATATCACTTGAACGTCTTTTAGCTTTCCTCAAAACTACAGGTATCTTACATAAATTATAGCCAAATTCTAGTCTAGTGAATGTACTTTTACCAGTGTTTTTCAGCTTACCTAGTTTGGCGCAGTATGGCCATCGGAGCTCTTGCGCCATAAAACCCGTAAACAACAACAACAACAACAACGAAGCTTCCGGAACAACACCAATGCCAGGAGTGCTGTAAAGTGCAAAAACCTTGTTTTATGCGCAGCCTCTAAGAACCTGCGCTTGAGATTATTATTTTACATTTTTATCGCTGGGGGCTAGGATTTTGGACACTGCATGGTCTATAGGCCACCTGCAATGCTGTTTAGTTCGGCGCTATCTATAGCGACTGAAGCAAGAAATATTGGGTATGCCTGGGAGTGGCATCTGTATTGTTCAAACGTGACGTATTACTTTGGTGGCGCCGCTATAGCCTAGTGTCTGAAGCAAGAAATACTGGGTAGGCCGGGAAGCTGCGGCCTGGCGGGCCAATCGGAACGTGACTTGGTATCACCGGAGTGCGCTTTTAGTGCGAAGTATCAGGCTTTTCGCTGCGTCATGCTCCAATATGTGTGCGTCGCGTAGCGGATATCGAAGCCGTCGGCACGCAATGGGGAGCTTATCGTTCACCCTCTGCCAAGTTACACTAACACAGCCGAACTCTGCGTCAGAAACACGCCCAAATAATTAATGTTGTACCCATGGGCTTAGTTCTAAACTTACCTGCTAGGGGCGCGACAGTTGGGTCTACTACCCAAAGGGGTCTCAGACCCCCCGTCGAAATCGGGGGGGGGGGGGGGGGGGGGGTCTCAGATCCCCCGAGACTTTAAGCCCTGGGGCCGAAGTATATTTCCATAAAGCCACTGACCAAGAAGCTCGCTTGTTGCGGTGTAATTTCAAAGAGAAAAGCGAGCGTTTTCTTTCAACCTTTCCTTCGCAAAACGTGGAGACGTAGCTGGGCGATCGCGGTACCGCCCAGTGGCGATATTTGAACGTAGCTCATAGACTGGACCCGAGCATTGCGCGAGCACTCGATTTGGGCTCGTGATAATAAAAAGCTCGCCATGGCATTCGGGTAGTGGCCCGTGTCCAATCGCTGAAATGATGACAAGAGCCTACCCATAACGATGTCTGGAACTCGGCGCGTGTCAGTGTGCCTTGCCAACCCCAGCGCGTGGCTATAATCAACATTGGCGACATATAATCGGCTCCGGAGCACGTGGCCGCTTGTTCTGGCGGCGAGCTGAAGAGGTAAACTTTGCTCGCTTTTCCTAAAATTATTTTTGCCACTTCTATTGCGTGTGGTGAAAAGGGAACACGTGTTTCGTAGGTCGTTAACGTAAGGTATTCGTTCTTAGCGGTATTTGCGCAAAGTACACAAATCGTTGCATCGCCCCTTTAAAGCTACCTTTATGATCGTGTGAATGGGGTATAGTTTCACACGTTGATAAAACCAAAGTCGCTTCTTTTTTTCTTTTTTTTCTTTTTTTGCAGGCATCTCAGAAACCGCGTTGTTACAAAAATAAGACTACCGAATAAGCTATTTTTGTAAAGTCTTTTTCTTTTTACAGTGTTTTTTGTGTTTTTTTTTATACAAGGTAGGAAAGAAGGGCCGGGGAAAATGGTTAACACGCCTAACAAGGCACGGGCTTCTTACAAGTAGTGGGAATGACCGGAAAAAATACATTCAGCTGAAAGCGATATGTCAAAATTGATCGGAATATCTCATAGGGTCCTCCTTCTCAGAACTCTGAAGATACTGAAATTTGGCAAAACAAGCAAGACCTTACTTACGCCGCGGTCACAATCCAAAAGACAGTCCCGTCTGAGTCGTCTTTCTTCCTTGCCGTGTATTAATCATACAAAAACTCTCTGCAGTCGTGTTCGGAGTATACGCATGCATGCATCAAACATGCTCGCAACACTCGCCAATCGTGTCAGCCCATATTTCGGTCATCTGAGGCTCTAATCTGGAGGACACTTGGCGAAAGAGTCAGCGAAAGATTCGACCACTGTGATGGGCCGGCGCCAAGGTCAAGCGCGGCGCCTACCATTCACAGATCCTGGCCGACTTTATCGCCATGATTCCAGATTAGAGCCGCTTGTAGGCAGCGAACAGCCTGTCGTTTGTCTAATGTATGACCAGCGTGAGTGCGGTGTGCACCTCGATAACCACGTACCAATAGACCCTCTCCAAAACCCCATCAGGCAACATTGACGGTGCGCCATTTCCTGGACACGAAGCGTGTGGTTGGATACGATTGCTTGCCGAACGCTCACGTGGTACTTGTTATCGATACAACCCGAGCCGAGCTCACGCCGAAAGCTGACGTAGTCCTCGTCGTGTCCAAGGGGTGTTCAGAGTGCGTTAATTTATTCATTGGTTTTGGGGTGAAGGGAAAAAGGGTGCCCAAACAACAACCGGCTGGGAGTATTGGCGCAACATCTATACTGTATCGTACGCGCTTTTAAAAGGGTATATTGCTTGGAGGTTAACGCCCTATGTGTCATGGACTGTATGGACTTGTCATCTATATGGTGTCTCTTGTACACGCCAGGGCCAAGTATTTTGAGCTCTACCAGGAGAGGGACTCCATATTTAAGCGGGATGCCCACACCACAGCTCATGCACTTAGGACTAGCTCTCACTCGTTGTCTGCCAAAGATCTGAGTGACGCAGAATGCTCTTTGCAGAAACTGTCTCTCGCTGTCACTAAGCACTCAGTGACTCAACTCTGGCTGCCGCCAGTGAGTATCGCCCATACACGTTTGCAAGCAACAGCACTTAATAAAAAAAATTAAAAAACTAGTTTGAACATTGTGCGTGGCGAACGCTTTGTTGGGGAACTAGACTGGCAACCTTCAATACTTGACTACCAGGTGAACTACAGATCGTCTGGTAGTCAAGAGATCAAGAAATCTTCAGCTCCAAGATGGTGGCACCCAAAGGGAGGTCGTTCCTGCAAACAAAGAGCACAGTAAAGGCATTCCATAAAGGCAGGCGACAGAACTGAGCCTTCCGGCACCCCGGCAGTCAGAAAAGTTGTAATATTTTGGCGATTTTAAATAGCTACGACCTGGGGACGTCCAGAGAGGTACCCGTTTAGAAACTAGAAGAACGAACTCCTAAATCCGAGTTTGTATAATTTAGAACAAAGCATTCTGTGATTTATGCTATCCAAAGCTTTTGTAAGAAGTTTCTAAAACTTGAGTTCCCCGTTCAGACACGAAACCGGTTATAGGATAACAAATCCAACCGTTGTGAAATACTGCTCATTACCTTTACCGAGTGTTTTTTTTTCCTAGTAATTGTGCAATGGACGACAGTATCAATATTGGGCGATAGTTTTTAAAATGTCTCGCTGAACCTCCTTCGTACAGTGGTTTTACAATAGCTGTTTTGGTTCCTGCTGATCCGTTTCTTGTCTGAATGGCATTATTCAGCGCTGCTGTACATGAATATCTGCGCAGCCGTCCAGCTGGGAGCTGTCCGTGTCGGACCCGATCACCAAAGGTGGCGCCTTCACGCAGCACGTCCGCATGTTCTACCTCTCCGTGTCGTCGGCCACACTCTGCGGTCAGTTCCCCTCTCCTCCATCCGAGGCACTTCTCTACGGGGAGGGATATACTGTCTCTTTAAAGGTGCACGGAAACGAAATGAAGTGACCGCGAGCTCTCTACATCTCGCTTCAAAATTAGCCAGCGAGAAGCGCAATGCGTATCGCGTTCGTGACGTCAAAGGTTTCCGCGCGGCCAAGGGTACTCGCCTATAATCAGCATACTGTGATTAACAACCAGTCGTCAGCTTATTCTCCTGTATCATCCGGAGTCCCCCAAAGCAGTGTTCTCGGACCTCTGCTTTTTTTAACATTTGTAAATGACCTACCAGATCGCATAACATCCTGTATTCGACTTTTTGCTGATGACTGCGTAATTTACCGATCTGTATCTAACCTGAACGATAACATAACCCTACAAGCTTACCTTAACCTAATAGCCGACTGGTGTAAACAGTGGAAAATGACAATTAACTTTTCTAAAACAAATCTCGTTTCCTTTACGCGTGCTCATAGTCCTCTCTCTTTCACTTATACCATGTGCAGCCAGGTAATTACCAAGTGTCCATCTTACAAATATCTGGGTGTTCACTTATCTGACGATCTCTCATGGAACACGCATATAACACACGTGCTGTCTAATGCTAACCGCTCTCTTGGCTATCTTCGACGGAATCTGAAACTAGCACCATCATCAGTTAAACAACTAGTTTACACTACACTCGTAAGATCGCAACTTGAATACGCGTCATCCATCTGGTCCCCTTGGCAACATTCATTGATAACAAACATAGAGGCACTTCAAAATCGCGCAATCAGATTCATTTTTTCAGATTACCCACGAGACACCAGCATCACTTCTTTACAAATGAAAGCTAACCTTGATCTCATCTCAACCAGAAGGAAATTATCACGCCTGTCTCTTTTTCACAAGATTTACTATCATAGCCATGACATCAAAACTTCACTATTATCCCCAGTCACTCGCATATTTCCTCGCATTGATAACGTCTGTAAAGTTCGTCCAATTTTCACCTCGTCAGTTTCGTTTCTTAACTCCACCTTGCCATTCACAATAACGGACTGGAATAGCCTGCCTAAAAGTATCGTGACCCCCAGACAGATTATAATACATTCATATCCCAACTGACCATCCATCTGCATTTGCACTAATAGCAAAGTCAACTCGTGTTTATAGAAATGTTTTATTTGTGTATTTTTTCTGTTTCATCAGCTGTTTTTCCCTAAAAATGTTTAAGTGTTTTTTTTTTCCTGTTTTTGCTGCTTTATATAACGATGTTTTCCAGCATGTAACCCACTTTTTTGTTTGTTCCTTTATATAATGTTTCTTCAGCAGTTACTCCCACCTTGTGTAATGCCAGCAATGGCCTTCAAGGTTTAATAAATGATGATAAAAATAATAAATGATGAGTTTTGCGGCTTGGTGGTGTCAACGCGTTACGATCTTGCCTAGTAGTAATATCCGAGGACTGGACTATTTTCACCTTATTCGGCGGGAGTTGGTACCACGAGGGCGACACAGTATTTGGTGGCCCAGTAGACTTCCGGTAGCGTATTTATTTGACCTTCAGGAACGAACAGTGATCGGGTAAGAGAAATTTCCTTCTGAGAATTACCTGTAATACGTTTGTAAGAACCTGCGCGCTTTGTAGAACGCAGTACAAGTAACAAAAGGGTGCGAGACAAAAGGAAGGAAGAGGAAAACCTGAAGCACGCGGGGGTCCGGCGATAGAGGGCGGCAGCGAGCTTGTTTGCAAACAGACATCGGTGAATACACAGCTTGCCCGTAACGTCATTCGCGGCCATGCCGGTATTTGATGTGCCGTGAGCGTTCGGTTTACCTAGAGCCACTAAATGAGCTGCGCTTTTAGAGTATCGTCACTCGGTCTCCTGATATTGTTGTGGGCGCCGCCATCTTGGTGCTTAGTACAGAGCACACGCAACTGCCGATCGTCATTGTCCAAGAGTGCGACGTCCTGAGCATGAGAATCGGTGTTAGGAAGCGCATGTAATATTGCTTCGCTCGGTCACGGATTGTTTAAACATTTGCGGAGGACGGAGAGGCGTTTCCTGAGATTTCAGATAAAGCTTCAAATAACTGAAGCGCAACTCTTTTAGTGGTTCTAGGTTCACCGGGTTAGTTTGACACCGCGTAAGTACGAGCTGGAGGGAACCAGTAGGTAGAAATGACCGTCAGTACCTAGCAATGGCGACACCTACAAGCTATGTATGTAAGGTATTCACTGCGTGCCATATTCGAGCTCGTTATTTACAGCACATTAGGGGGGGGGGGGGGGGAGAGAGTGAGAGATATGGTTGGCTTGACAGAGGTCCCCGCATCTTCAGATCAATATATACCTATCGTATTCTAAGGACGGCGGTCTTGATGGTGTGGAATGCACGTTCTGGGAAGCACTGTGGATTTTTCTTGGCCAGATTTCGCTGTTCCGTTCAAGCCCGGGTTGTCTATTCATTTCCGTCGTACTTCCGTGAATGGCGCTGGTGCGGGAGGCATTCAACGTCATAACTACATCCGCCTTCCAACTACCCTGGTGGTGTTGAGAAATCGTTTGATCAGTTCTAAAATTAGTTTTTTTTTTTTTGTGCGTTTACGAGCGAAAGACTGGTGTTTCTAAGGTGCTGTCACAAAATAGTTTCTGGATAAACAAAAAATAAGAGCCAAAAATTTCGTTTCCGTACCCCTTTAACACGCATGGTTTTGATCGTGATGCTCGATGTGCGCGATAGCGGGGTGCCCGTATTTGGGACTTCATTGCCACTGAAATTTGCCCCCCAGTGTGAACTTTTTAAGCAGTCGCCAGGTTCGTAGTGACCGCTTTGATCGGTCACCAAAAATATATATATATTGCCGTTTTGTTTTTGTTTTTGTAACGTATGAAATGTTTTTCTTTTTACTCTACCCCCCTTTCCCAATTTTCGCTTAAATTTGGCGGAAACAGGGCGTCACGTGATGTCATGTGACCTATAGACCTCGTAAAAATTGACAGCACGTGACCTATTCGTCAACCCCGTTTCCCCGCTAAATTTAGCCGGAAACCACGTCATGTGGTCCAAACATTAATTCAGTTTCCCCGCTAAATTTAGGGGCAAATTGACGCCACGTGACTTATACACGAATTCAGTTACGTGCTGTATTTAGCGGGAAAATTCACGTCACGTGACCAATACACCCATTTAGTTTCCCCGCTAAATTTAGAACGAAAATATATACATCACGGGACACACCAATTCCCCTACCAATTTCCTATAATGAATTTCATGAATTATAGGACAAAGGTAACTTTGCTTCAGTAGTTTTTAAAACAAAGATCGCTGCCAATTTTTTTGTCCCATTTTGTTGGTTCTTCGAAAGAAACGGTCGAGCAAGTCGTCTCTCTCATGCCGCGAGCATACTACTAAAGAACATACAAAAGACGAACATTATCTGAGTCGCATTTCCTCCTTGTCACGCTGCACATCTGAGAACTGCCAGCAGACATGTTCGAAGTGTATGTGAAGCCTTCGAGGATGCTTGAGGCCGCATGTAATTCTTCCATCGTGTCTCCAGCGATCTCTCCCGTAATGAAGGAGCAGTGTGATAAGGTTCCTCGCATATACGACACTTGTTCAGACATAATTTTACCTACGTGACAGCGCATATCTTCCATTGTTTCAACAGAAGGCTTCTTGCTCCAGTGTGGTGGGCGAAAGTACACCATGTGCAAGCCTCGCACACGGAGCGCAAGTTCGTCTGCTCCTTTTGAAGGGGTTGTAATGGCGTCAGGAGGCCGTGCTTTGATTGGCTCTGATTGGAAGGATAGTGGGCAGACCTTGAGGCAGCTTGCTTTGCGGTCTACCCACTATCCTTCAGTCAGAGCCAATCAGAAATCGGCGTCGTTCTGACGTCACCGGAACCCCTGTGCAAGAAGCAGACGACTTGCTCCCCGCATAGCGAGCGGGGTGCACCATGGGGCCGGCTTGCTAGAACAGCGTCTCAGCTGAGACTGGGTGGAAGAAACCACTGCAAAGGTCGGGGCGCGCGCGATCGTCTTGTGACGCGGTTTAAGTCCCGTTCAGCTCGTCCGTTGGCTTTAACGGTGCTTTCTTTCACCTGCAGTTTCAGCTGAGACGCTGTTTCTGTCAAGCCGGCCCTGATCGCCGCCATGTTTCTGCTAGTGAGATGAACCACGTCCGATTCCGATCCTAGCAAATCGAAAATTGGAGTTACCTTCGCGCGCATGCTGCACATGCGCGTGGCGCATCAACCGGAGCAGCGTGTTTGCAGCCCCGCTCACGAGCAAGCGGCATGAGGGTGAGCGGTGAGCCCCCGCGTCACCTCCCGGAGGCCAGCGCGGGGCACACATCGGACATGAGCATTACATCCGCGAGGAACTTGTGTCCTCACTGATCGAACACGAGTCCTGCCTGCCGAGCGCAGCTCTTGTGTCCGGTCTGCGGCGCATATTGGCCTCCGGGAGCTGACGTAGAAGATGCGGCACTACGGCCTCGTGGTCTGGCAAGTGTGGAGTGAGTGCGCGCAGCAACTCCGCCGTTCCAGAAATCGGCCACGGCCCGTGTCCAGTGGCCACGCTCGTGCCCAGTGTCCACGCTCGTGCCACCTGTTAGTGAATGAGGCCTACGCGGATTAATAATAAAACCCTCGCAAATGCGAAACGCCGAGTTGAGATCATCTCCTGTTTACTCAGCCGATCTCGGTGCTAACGGAAGTGACGTCAATACTCGATGCAGGCGCGGCCAACATCCAGCCGGTGTCCTGGTATGCCACGATCTTTCTCTGCGTTCAGGTAAGCTCAGTCGCCGAGTCGGGCGTTCGGCGCGGCCGTGTCGGTGCAATGAACTTAATGACGCCGCCTAGAACTACGGATCACACATTGTCGAGCCGCGCTGTTCACACGTCGTACAAAAGATGTTCACAAGCAGAAACGATGGCAGGATTAACGTGTTTCAAGCATGTCGACTGCTGATGTAAGAGGAGAAAAGTCTCGGGCGGCCTTTGCTTCGATCTGGTGTTTGTATGGCACGCTAAACCCATACCAGACCTAGAAGACAACACCTGCGCCTATCCCCCCGCCCTGAACTTCTTTCTTTCTTTATTAAATGACAAAAAAAAAGGGGGCAATTGGCAGCTTCATCACCTCATCAACATCGCCGCAGGCACATCTCGCAGCGTTTCACAGCGAACGCGACGCCAAAACGGACGCGTCTGCCGCTTCAAGGCGACCACGGAGGTAGAAAGCTTCTGGAAGTGGCATGGCGCCACCAGAGCTGAAGCCAGAAGTGAGGGACACGCTCCCAACGATAACCAAAACCAAGAGACGCTATTGGACGAAAAGGAGACAACTCTCCTTTTCGTCCATTAGCTTCTCTTGGTTTTGGTCATCGTTGGGGGATGTTTCCCTCCACACTTCTGGCTTCACTACTGTGGTGTCATGTCGCCTCTAGAAGCTTCCTACCTCCATGGCGGTTTCTCTCGTCGAGCTTCAGCGTATTTGCCGCTTGTTGGGGGATGCACCATCGATGACGTCATGCGCAGGCCTTGTCTTCAAGGCGGCTTTGGCTTCGCACACCACTCGGAATCCCTAATCTCCATTGCAGTAGGCTGGATCGCCGATCGAGACTCTTCTTGCTGGAGATGAGCGGCACCACCGGCGGCCATCGCTTGACACCAGCTAATGCATGGGACTCTATGGGAGAAGCGGGCAAAACTTCAATTTCTTATCTTTGTAGGTTGTTCTCAACGATAAAACTTTGATCGTGTTTTCCGGGTATAATAGTTAATATTCTGGGCGCAAATATCAAAACCGTTAAAAGGAAGCTGAAAAGGTTCTTGAAGAAAACGAGTTAGAGGTGAATTCTCGTGTATTTTTATCCCGTGAATCTGAATACCACGTTCGTTTTCCCCGAAAGTGAAACTAAACGCGAGAAAACACGAAAAACCTAGGCCCAGTCGTTATGTCTATAACCCAGACCTTTCGGCCGCCAAGCGCGTGTCGCTTGCGTGTAATGGCAAGCTTGCCAGGTAATCGCGGTGAGAAGCTAGCAAGGGGCGCTTCTGTTTTCCTCACTATGGGTAGTGCACGTGCTCGCGGTTATGTTTTCATTTTCATAGTGCGTAGAAGCTTGGCATTGCACGTGTTTTCACCAGCAGAGCAAGTTGAAGCATCCTCATTCTGGGTAGGGAAAAAATTCCACCAGGCGGCGACACCCAAACTTCTCGTCAAAAATGCATCGTACAAAAGACAGTCTGCAAACAGATTCGAGCGCGAGTCATTGAGAAATTCCTGCTTCGAATGCCGCATGGATATGAGTTCAAAGGGAAAACTTGGCACGCGGCATTCGAACCGGATATTGCGGTGGCTCGTGTTTGCATATGACTCCGTTTTTTGTTTTTCTTCTATAGATAATTTTTTTTTTTAACAAATGTTGTGGTTGAGGGTTGCGGGTTGCGACTTTGTTGGGTGTAAACTGTGATCCGGTTCAATAAGACAAGGGTTACCGAGAGTTAATGTCGAGTCGTTCGTGATCTCGAAGTCATTAGAGCTTAGCAGACGATAAGTTGGAAAGCTTGTCGTCTGCTGGGGACATTCGCATATTTTTAAACGCTTTTACAGCGTACAATGCTGGTGCAGGCTGTTGCTTTGGACTTCATTGAGGGCTCCTGTGAAGAACTAAAAGTCGGAGCGTGTCGTTCATTTGTTGAACGTGTCGTTTATTTAGCAAGTGAAGCAAGCGACGCATACACAACCAGTAATGCTCCAGCACGTTTGATATTTTTTTTATCGGCTTTCGAACGCTTGAAAAAACTAGTCGATTTTTAAATCGACTAGTTTTGAAAATTGAAAAAACTAGTCGATCGCAGCACATCATAAAATCCACTCCTCAGTTCGAGCATCGCGTAGAACCTTCAATATTACTACTTTTGTGTGTTACTCCCATAGACTCGCGTGTATTGCCTGATGTTAAGCAATGGCCGCCGGTGGTGACACTGACGGGCTCCCGATCCGCGATCCAGCCCACTTCAATAATGATCAGTGGTCGCAACAGGCGGAAAATAATCGTAGCGCCGCCGCGCGTGGGATCGAACTCGTTTGAAGCAGACGGATGACGGAATCGATTGACTGCGCTAAAAGACCATCCGATAGACTATTGCCCAACCGTGGCCGTGGGATGTGCAGGCATGCCTGGAAACCTGACCGTTTGCGAAAGCGAAACACTGCCCAAGCGCACCGTGGTTCCGGCTAGGGATTCAAGTGTTCACATGATGTCGCAAGCGCTGCAAGCTGAAACTCCAGAGCATTGAGAGAGAGAGAGAAGAGAGAAAGAGAAACTCGAGCGAACACAGGCCGGTTCGCGTGGCGAAACACATTGGCCAAACCATATTTCACCGATTGAGCTTTTCTTTTAGATTGGAAAATTGTTGAATCACGTTGCGTGTGTGTACTAATATTTCAGAAAACTACGCAGTACCCGTGCTTATCGGAGGAAGACTTCTCCGATCCGCCTGCTCAATTTTCTTCGGGCGGCAGCGTCCCGTAACGCGAGACAATTAAAATGGTTTCACCGATATGCCGAGACGCTGTATGCGCCGGGGCCGCGGGTCTCAAGTCAAATTGGTGGTGTATGGATTTTTATCGACGGTTTTTCCTGATCTCTTCGATCTCAAGGTGCAGTTCAGCCGGGGACGCTGCACGTCTGCTAACCTGGGATATTGAACAGTCATGCAGCGTGCTGCGATCGCAGGAATCTACGATTTACCCTTTGAGACCAAAGAAGGAACAACAAATTTCGCTACGTGTTTTGTTCGAATTCAGATAAACCGCGCTGTCTCTTTTTTCTTTTTTTTTCTTTCTCCTTTTGATATTTTGTTTGTTTATTTGTTGTATTTTGCAACAATCGAGTCAATATTTCCACCCCTCTTGTCTTCATCTCGCTGTTCGAATTTCTCCAGAGGTGGAGGAATAAGTCACGAAGTTTCGAGTCTCGAACCGCCCCCGACCATCGAGGCACTTCTAAACATATACGGAAAGCAAATCGTGCAATCGAGAGCTTCCTTTTTTCCAAGGCCTTTCTCTAGCTCCCCTACAACTCGAGCTTTGCATATCCGGGAATTATCCGCAGATATCCACGGATATCCCATTTCCGCGGATATCGGATGCCGATACCCGCGGGTCCGGATCCATTTTTGTCAATGCGGCCCATAAACGTGTGCGACCGTACAGTGTAGAGTAAATAAGTGGGTGATCCTATGGAGTGCATCATCGAATGAATGGCGGGGGACAAACTACTCTCTTAGATAAAAATGTGCCAATAGGGGAGAATATTGTTCATTACGACAATAAAGATTTCATTCGCACTGAAGATCGCAATAGAGCGTTTAAGAACGTTCTATCTCGCTAAACATACTGTACCTAGAAAAAGTGAAGAAAGCAAAACTATCAGTCGTCCCGGGAAGCGTGTTCTTGTTTGGCAGGGAAAGAGCGGAAAACGTTCTTTGGGGCAAAGGAAACCTAAAACGTACAAGCCACAGAAAGTAGAAGAAGGCTGCAAGTGGCTTTTTCGCCTACAAATATATATTGAGGACACTGCATTCGATCCTCTGGACAGGTGTAACTTGCACCAGCACGAGTTTCCGGACCTCATTCTTGTAGCGAAGTTTGTGCATACCATCCCAGCATCAAGTGCACCAACAGAAAGAGACGTCATTAGCGGGTATTACTTTGAGGGGCGAACCAATCTGAATCCGTCTGAGTTTACGATATTCTGTCCCTTTCACTCAACAACCACGACAAATAAAACGTTGCGTGTGTGCGCGTGTTTTCTTTTTCTCGATAGTTGGCACTGAGTGTTGTTTTTTTTTTTTTTTTCTTTAAGTATATGGTTTTGAGCGTGCAGTTGAGGGTTCGTGTCTGAAACTGTAACCGATAGGAGGTGTTGCCATTATTACATTGTTTAGCTTTAAAAAAAATTATACAGTTTTATTAGTTTGTCCTTTGGCAATTTTCATGTTTATAAAATATGCGTCTCCTTGAAGCGGGTTTTACGAAGCAAAAATGAAAATAAAAATACATTTCCTTCCATCTGAACGCATATACTGGACAGAGTGTCATTGTCACGGACTCCCAAGACGATCGCATAACTGCGATCATCTTTCGAGCGATGCAAACTGTCTCTGGAAGGATGATCGCTTATTTTATAAATACGATAAAACAGAATACGATAAAATGACTTTCACCGTATTCTTACACGAAGAGTTCTTCGTAGGAAGGTAAGCAGGCGACTTATAGGATACCATCCAGATGTTTTTTTTAATGTTTATTTATGCCTGATTTTATGTAAAATGAAAGCGCGGATTAAGAGTCGGATGCGGTTCCGAATTTTGCGAATCGGATGCGGATGATCAAACTGTTATCCGCGTAGGGCTCTACCTACAACCTTCGTTAAATTTCCTCCCTGTCCTTTGTTTAATTTCCTCCGTCTCCCCTCCCCCCTCTCTCTCTCTCTCTCTCTCTCTGTTTGTCTGTCTGTGACTTTCTGCGGATATTTCCCCGGAACTAAGATTAGACCGACCCTGGAGTTATTTAACAGAATTTGTGCGCCGATAATACCCTGCGAAATTAATTCTCAAATGGAGCGACAAAAGTCAACAATTAAAACAACTCGACAGGGCCTAGGCGAGTGACTATATGCTCGTGGCTTCCAGTTTTTATTCATTGCTTCACTGTCCGTGATTAAGACGCCGGAAGGCGGTGGTACTTAGCGACGTCTCAGAAATGTCGCCTTGATT